ATAAAAAATGAAACAATCACCTAAGTATCCCTATCACAAATTATTGAGACTATCCAACTTTCTAAACTATTATCAAGAAACAGAATGTCATTATGCATTTGATTTTTTTCACCATTATTAATGGAAACGACTTGTAGAAAATGTTGAGCTGCACTGAATTCCCTTTTGTTTGGTGAGAACCACTGTTTCACATTCCAGTCTTCAGCATCACTGACCAGGGTATCCTGTAAGAGCTTTTGATACTTAAAGCTAACTATGCTATGTTACATTATAAATCACAAATTTGAGTCAGTGATACACCTCTAATTGCCCAAGAAGTTAATTCTCAGGAGACTCAGCTGTTATAAAATTCTATTCATTTATCTTGGGACTGAATTCTAGCTATGAAGCATAGGATTACAGAGAGCATGCTACAAATATTCAAACAATTTCAACTATGCTAAGTGCTTTAAAAGCAAGTAACTCCAATAAAAATACCAAACATTGATAACTTAATTGTGAATATCTTATTTTGCGTATAGAATTTCAGACCATCTTAGCAAATGACTGAGGCCATGTCATTTGTGTAAAGGAGGTAGAGCTAAGGTCCATGAGAACTATTATGAGAAGATTCCGCAAGAATTTAGAGCAGGATTGAAGATGTGGCTGTGGGTCACAGCTGTTTGCTCTCCTTTCTTAAAATATATAAAAGTTTCCAAGGGTATGAGTTTTAAACAGGCCACTCTACCCTAGAGCTTTGTTGGAATCCTCATGCCACAGTCTGGCTGGGCACAATCAGGAGCCACTTGTCAAAAGAAACTAACTTTATTTTTAGAACCACACACGCCAAACAAAACAGCCTCTCAGGAAAAACCCTCAGAGCCTCAACTGCCACCACCGGCTTTCCACAAGCCTCTCTCTCCCACACAAGCTTCTCTCCACCTCCCACAATCCTCCTGCTCTTGAGGCCGATTGGCTGGGTCACGTGGGCAGAGCAAAAAAAGTCCCCCAATGAGCAGCTCCGTGGTCTGAAAGGTCAGGGAAACAGCCCAATGAGCATCACCGCAGAGGAGCCAATCAGCTAGATGTTGCTGGGGCCGCTGTGAGCCAATCATCAGCCGGCAGCTGGAAGTTTGCTGGCAGCTGGAAGTTTGCTGGGGCCCCTTCGGCTGTGGCTCTCAACATCCTCAGATGATAGCACTAATTCTCCATCTGGTCACGTTGTATTCAAACACTTCATGGTCAATCACTTACAAAAAGAAAAAATGATTGACTCATATAATTGAAAAATCCAGGTTTGACTTTAGACATAGTTCAATCCAGACACTCAAGTCCTATGTTTGTCCGGACTTTGGCTTCTGCTTTCATCTATATTGTTTTTATTCTAAGGCAGATTTGCTTTAAGTAGTGCCAAGATTATATAGTGAGAGGTCCAGTCTTATATTTGTAAGCTTAGCAACCCTCTAGAAAAAAGAGCATTACTCTTTCTGTAGTATCATCAAATTGATGTTTATTGGCTATGATTGGCTTGGCCGGTCAATGTCCACCCTTAGAACATTCACAAAGGCTAGGGAGCTGCTGCACTCCCAAAGACCAGGCCTTGGTCATACACCCATACCAAGAAGCACAAAGTGAGGCCAACCCTATCTGAATTACATGGGTGGAGAATAGAAGGGTGGTTTCTCAGTGGCAAATTGCAGTATTAATACCAAAAAAGGGAATTGACACGGGGCATACAAAACACCACTAAACTTGGATGTTATAGAAACAAAATAAAAACCAAACAAAAACAAAACAAAAAGCAAAACAAAAACCCCCAGACTCAAGAATCTTCCAAAGGGACCAAATGGATTTATAATATGAAACAAAAAAGAGGTCAAAATGACTGCTTGACCCATCTGAGATCATATAGAGCATAAAAATCTAGTAGAGTTTCAACTCTTTTAGATTCTGGGAGCTAATTTGGGATAGAAGTTAATTAGGTTACTGTATTAGTCAAGGTTCTTCAGAGAAGCAGATTAAATTGGATGTGTGTATCTGTGTGTCCTGGTGTTTGTGCACGTGTGTTTATGATCTGCTCTACTTGAAGTCTGCTGGCATAAGTGTTAATAACAGCTTCAATAAAATATTTTCTCAAAAAGCAACATCTAGAATAATATTTGGTCAAAAATGGGCATCATGGCCTAACCAAGTTGACACATGAAATTAACCATCACAGTAACCAACTTGAATTGTGAGTGATCCCCACACTAAAGCCAGAATGGAGATGGCTTCCCAATGCTCAGACCAAACTTCAGACCAATTAAATTAAATATCTGGGCATGAGGCCCAGTTTAAAGTGTTTTTTTTTTTTTTTTTTTGGGGGGGGGGGTGTTGCACAGATGATTCCAATGTGCATCCAAGGCTGAGATGGCTGATGTTAAACCCTGATTTTCATGGGTGTTTCTTAGACTTGCTAAACCTCAACCTCACCCATACACTTTCTAGAAGTATAAATTCCCTGTCTCCATTCCAGGCCTACTAAATTAGAAATTCCAGGAGTGGGGCTTAGCTGCCAGTGGTTTAAGACCTCCAGGTGATTCTAATGCATGATCAAGTTGGAGAATCACTGGTTTGAAGTTATTTAAGAATACAATACTAAAATATGCAGGAGTATGACATTTTTTTTACCTCCAGTCTGTTTCTCTAGACTAGATGGGCAGGTGCATTTGAGTGAAAGAGCTACTCTTCCCTAAGCTTTCCTTAAGGGAGCTGATGTATTTGTTTCCAGGATAATATGAAAGCAAGAAGGACTTTGACTTCATGGCCAGCTTCCTTGAGTTTGGGTATTTTCTAATAGCAGCTCTGGTTGTTATCGAAATCTTGGCTCTTGTCCCCAATGCCAATCTAATAACGAGGAAAGTTTTGAGGAAAAGGAAAAAGATGTTTTATTGCTTTGTTAGCAAAAAAGAAGCAGGGAGGACTCGGGTCCCAGAGGCTGTGATTCTCCCCAGGGGGGAATTCGAGGTTTTCCAAGAGGTGATTCAAAGACTACATTCTAGCTGTTCTCTGTTGGAGTGTAATTCACTTGTTAAATTGAGAGATTAGTCATTTCTGAGATCTTCTGCTAGGATCCCCAAAGTATTACTTCCTTCCTATGGTGGTGTCTCAAGGACAGATAAATCTGCCTAAAATGGGGAAGGTAATCCTGTTTCCCCTGAGATTAGAGAGGGGGAAATTAGGGAGGAGCAGGGAGAGAGGAAGAGAAAGAAACATGTCTGTTTTAAAAATAAGTTGCAGTGGCAGAGCAGCAAGGGCTATATTCAAAGCATGAAGTGGACCACTTTTACAATTTCATCTCTCCTTACATTAGATGCTGAACTCTTTCTCCTTTGTATAAATTCCTGACAGAACCTGGTTGGCTCAGTTTATCACTTTCATCATTCTGGTCATGTTCCTGTAACATTTGGTTGACTTCCAAACTTCTGACCAAAGTAAAGATAGACTTTCCTTGACTCAGGGAGCGCCAAGCTCCTTCAGCTGGGTCCAGGGAAACACAAAATGGATAATGTTAAGATTCTCCTAGGGCCGTTTTCCTTAAAGGTTTGAGGAACCTCCTAATGTGGGTGTGGATATGTGTGAAGCTAGGACCCAAGAGATGGAATCCATGAAGTGCGGTTGTTTCCCCTTTTTATAGTTCTTTCAGTGATGGAATGTAGGTGGGAAGGCCTGAAGGGTGGGGCACAGGTGGGCCAAAGAAGTAATCTTCATTAACATTTCTTTGGGATGGGCTCTGGGCCTTGGACTCCCCCACCCCCCCTTCATTAACATTCCAAGAGTTGTCCTGCATCTCCCGGAATTAATTCTCAACATGGCCTCCATTTTGAATCTTACTCGATATTAGACCTGATTTACTTAACTACACTGACTACCTAACTTTAAATCTGGCTTCACTACAACATCCTTACAAAATATCTATAAGTTGGGACATATGCTGTGCAGAAGTTTATTTCACCTTTCAAACTAAGTGTTCAATGGTGTTTGGTGATTTCTAAAAAAGGTAAAAGCATTATTTCTCCAAGTACCCCCTCTTTATAAAAAGAAACCCAGAATTGCCCACGTGTATTTGTGTATCCTTATATTCTTATAAAATAAAATCCAATATAGTTGACTGCAAAGCAAGACTTAAGAATGCTACTATTTTTAGGATTTTGTTTTGATACTCATGTCGGCAGAGGATTATATAATTATATGTGTTCACAGTTTAATTTAGAAGAGATAAAGCAGATGTAGCGGCAGTGAAGAGTTCATTTTCATGAAGATACCAGCAGATGTCAGCAAAAACTAAGGTGTTACATGAGTTTTACACAAAAACATTAACCTATTTGTAGTAGGGTAACCATAATGCAAGTAGAAATCTCTAATAACCAAGTTCAGTCCAGATAAGACACTTTTTTTACATTGTGATTCAACTTGTAATTACCTTTCTGGAGATGGGGCAGGTGGTGGTGTGAGAGGCCAGAGTGGGATCTAATTTTTCAGGACAGCAATAGCTTTTTTAAGGACTGAACTATATTTAAAACATCACCACCATATAATAAAACAAACCACACTTTAGACAGGCAACTTCACTTAAAATATAATCAAATAAATCAGATCTCATACTACCCAGACATTCCATGTTCAGGTATTCTGAACACAGAATTTGTGAGTACATGAATATTTATTTTTTCCTGTGGAAATAGTCCATACATTTCATCAGCTTCCCCCATGGGTCTCTGACTTCTGTAAAGAATGATGCTAAAACTTATTAAATGTATAGATATATTTTTATTAACAAATCACTATGTATGTGTCAAAATTCACTTGTTCAAAATTATTGGCTGGACTCTAGGTCAAGAGAGCATTTTTAGAATAGAGTGTCAAGCTGTAGAACAGCTTGTTATATAGAATTAGACATATTTTAAAAACAGAAAAATTCTATGTATTATATCCCAAAGGTTAATAGCTATATTCTTACATGTAATTGTAAAAAGTTGGAATAAGGTCACAAGGGATGACATTCATTTTATTCAAATATATACAAGCACTTTTCCTTTAATATTTGTGACCAGCATTTTATAAGACCAATGTTTGAGTGGCTTTACATTAAATTCTCTACAGAATCTTTATAAAGCATAAGAGTTTATATAACTTTTATTTGCTTTTTAGATGAATATATACTAATTTAATGCTTAACATTTTATAGTATAAAAGGGATCTAGATGATTTCATTATATTCTATATTTGTAATCTGGATTAAAAATAGTAAGTGAACCTGTGATGTTATTAAAAAAAAAAAAAAAAAATACAACTCTAATCTGGGCCCCTAAGTAGGAATGCAGAATACTAGCAAAATTGTTCCAAGTAACTTGCCTTTTAATCATTACTGTCTTTGAAAAGTAACAGACCTATTTGAATGAATGCTGAAATACAGCCATTTAAAACTTAAGTTATTTATTCCAGAGATATATTCTGTTTTTTTATAATTTTTTTCCCAATATCTTTATTTTTAAGTGGTGCTAAGGATATGTGTGAGGCAGGTGTTCTACCACTGAGCGACAGCCCCAGTCCTTATAATTTTTTTAAACATTTTTTTTAGTTATAGGTGGACATAATATCTTTATATTTTTCGTGGTGCTGAGGACAGAACTCAGTGTCTCACGCATGCTAGGTGAGCGCTCTACCTCTGAGCAACAATCCCAGCCCTATATCCTGTTTGAAGCAAAGAGAAAGTGTAAGATTATCTCTCTCTGAAGAGTCTAAGCAATGTACAATCTAACTTATACTTAGAAATCCCTCCAAAAAACAAAACAAAAAACTAAGTTCTAATGATCCTAATTGGAATCTGTTTGTATCCTCTATAACAAAATATTTTCTTCATTCAGAAAAAGTTAACAATCTAACACCTGATTTAAAGTTAAACTATTCCTTTTGCCAGTGCTCAGTTCAAACATAGATAAGGAATTGACAAGTAACTGTACTAATAATTAGGTCAAAGAAAAATTATAACTTCAAAATGACATTGCATCAAAGTAAAAACAGTGACTTAAGAGAGCATTAAAAAAAACAAAAAACAAAAAGAGCTCCAGTGGACAATTTAAACTGGCTATAGAAATTTAGTTTCAACAGCTACAAAATATTTCAAATTGCCCAAAGTTCATTCAATTAACTGAGGTATCGTATTTGGAGAAAACAAAAACTCAGCTTACAATTTTCTAGGTGGAAGAAGCCGTTAGACAAAATGGTGGGTAAATGTCTTAAAAATAGTTTTTGATCTCTTAATCCTCATCAGTCATCTTATACAATTTCAATAATAGATATAATGTATGTTTATGTATATTCATGTTTTATACATAAAAAGAATATTTTTCTCCCACAAAGAATACACCGTATAAATAATGAAAGTTTTATGGTACTAATACTTATTTTTATTTAAGTTGGGAGAAAATAAATATATTTTAGTACTTAGATATATAGATTATTTTCAAAATAGCTCATAGTGTCAGTAGTATCAAAATCAGTTTTCTCTGAAGGAGGCATTGTTTCCAGCTATAGGCAGTCCTCATTTACATGGTAGTATGGGACTATAAAGATGTCCAAGCAAAGCAATCCCAATGATCAATAAGGAAAATTACGATTATTCTATGACCTTTAAAAACCTGTAGGAGTATTAAACACTCTCAACTGCCAGTTATAAATGTAGATGAAAATGAAAGTTTAAACAGTGAGAGTGAGAGTTTTACTTTACTGTAAAATACTAATCAGGAGTAGTTTTAACACAGCTTGCCTTCTCTAACTTATAATGCTGAGTCAGCATCTCCTATACTCCAGCAACTTATGTACTTTTTAAGTTGGGATCAGCTTCCACCATTTATTATTGTTTGTGCTTTCTATGTTGTGACCTATTCCTGTGTTAACAATAAATATTCTTTAATGTGAAAGTTTTGCCATTACTTCTCCATCACAACTGCTTTCCTCACTTATGTTGGTAAGTTTGTTTAGCAAGACTCAGCTAGTCATTGTACAGCAACTGTATCTAAACACCCAGAATCAGTGACATTTTTTTAAAACTCCACTTATGTTCAAATTATTACTTTCAGCATTATTATTGTTCACTTCTTTGCTTCATTTTCAATCTTAGATGGCCAATTTTTTTGATTATCCACTTTTATAAAATGTCACATTGGGTGATGACAATGTAACTATACGCTTTGCTGTAGATGAACTAAATACATACGTTCAAGGACCAATCACAAGCAGAATTTGAAAAAAGATAACATAATTGGTCACTGACTATAAAGCACACCTGTTACTTAATAATTTCTGGACAAAGGTGCTAATACTTCACAAGATGAACAGCTGATATGCTACCCTAACTGAATGTGAACCATGCTATTAGGAGGCTGTTGTTATTTAACTAAATTATGGTCACTGAAATTTGTGCCTATGGGAACCACACAAACTGAGGACTGCCCACACCCTTCTTAACATTGACCCAGACAGGCTTAAAAGTGACTACTGAGAAACAACTCATATAAATTTACATCAAATAATGAACTTAAAGAAACCCAAATGAAACATTAGCATACATACACTTTGGTAGTTTTCAAATTTTTGTTATTTGACCATCATGCTTAAAATGTACCTTAAGAGTAACAGAATTTTAGAAATAGAGGAACTTTAGACTCCAGTGGTTTGATATTGCAAATTATCCTGCATGTTTATTATGAATTATTTCTCCTCCTTCAATTTCTATTTGCTCATATAGCCACTTGCGATCACAGCGACATTCAGCTCCACACTTGGTAGAACCACAGGCAGGACAAGCATAGAAACATCCTAAGCAATCTTCATCCAGGCAGTCGCAGAGGTCCATCCCACTGAAAATCAAGAGCCCTTGGCTATCATAGACCTTACTCTTTGCTGGTATCACTTGTCTGTAAAATAAAATGTAATGAATTATACCTCATGAATATATTACTTTTGAATATTTAACTGAAAATAGGATAATGAAAAAATTTAAGGACATTAAGTATTTTGAATTAGGGATAAGGTCCTGCTAAAGTAGTATGTAATTTACCAGGCTTACAGCCAATTCTACAAACAGTAAGTGAGAGGAGGTGCTAAGAATTGAATCTAGAACCTTGTGTGTACTAGGCAAGCACTCTTCCACTCAGCTATATCTTCATTTCCCTGAAGTTCATTTAAAAGTCAGTTCAACGAAGGAACAGACAAGAACTTTGTCCCAGATCATATGTAAATTTCTGCTAAAATTATTTTCCTTTAAAGAAAAAATAATGGCTAGTTAATAGTGGTTTACTTTATTGGTTATCAATCTCTTCACTACTTTGTGAACATAGTTTGTAGTATACCAAACTATAAGTTTTTATACTGTAATTAGTCAATGTAAAACTTTAACAAATGGAATAAATGGAATACACAAAAATGTTAATTGCATTTAATTCTGAATGATTACACTTTATATTTTAGAAATAGTGAAATTTCTGAATGATTATATTTTAGAAATAGTGAAATAATATTTTAAATAATTTAGTTCTCCCATTCTTTCTGTTCACTGTACCAGAACTGTTTCTATTTCAGCCCCATGAAAAACAGGTAAAAAATGAAAAGCAATCTTGCATTCTCATAAAATTGAATTACCTTTTAGCTGTCACTCATAGAGAGAGATATACCAATAAGATAATATCATTAGGGCTTTTCACAAAGTGAATTACTTTAAGTCTGCTTCAATATCTTAACCCTCATGTCAAAATGTTACCTTTTCACATCATTGCTACTTTCTTGGAAACAAACTTTTAGAGTTGAAAGGGATGCTTTAATTTTCTATGAATAAACCCCAAGGTCCTTGGAGGTTTTTTACCAATTCCACATTATTCAACTTAAAATGTCTACTCAGAAAATTTAATAGAAAATAAAGGAACAATGCAGATGTGAAGCAGTAAGTTAGAATATGAGTAAATGCATAGAATACCTGTCTGAACCAGCAGTTGCATTTTTGGTAAGCCTTCTTTTTTCTCTTTTACCAGTTTCTGGAGCAAATTCAGTTTGCTTTCCTGGGTTTGTAAACTGTAGTGACCTCAAAGCTTTAGCAGTTCTTCCCTGAATAAAGACAAGCAAATTATCCATTAAAATATTGTCATTAGAAAATAAATAAATACTTCTCTTAGTATTGACCCAGATTTATTTCTTAACCTGGAACATAGAAAAAAGATTAGGACCCAAGTGCAAGAAAATTTACTTAGTCCTTGAGTATGTTAAAACTTTTTTATTAATGACATTTCCATTATGTGATTTTAGTCTCCAGCAATTAGGTGTAGAGGCAGGCTGGCATGGTGACAACTGCAATGGCTGCTGGTACATGGGAACAAAGGCAAAAAAACTGCTATAACCCAATGGCACAAAACTGAGCTTCCTGATAACAACTTTGGGTCCTTAGGAAAGTTTCTAGTATTAAGATGAGAGAAGCAATATGGTTTCAAGTTCTGAAATAGTGTGATATTTTTAAATAGCTTTGATAAAACAAAATTTTGGTGCCTAAGGGCTTATGTTTGTTATTTGAGGAAGTGAAAGTAAATGGTCTTTCAAAATGTTTGCATTTACCCTGAATCACCCTTGGGTGATAAAGATAGTGGATTTAGGAAAAGAATAACACAATAACACAAGAGCAATGTACACATAAGATGAAGACATCTGAAGTTACAGTTATCAACAAGTATCAATAATGAACTGCAGATAAAAATGGCTTGTAGAGATGTGCCTTAGAACAAAAGGAAAACAATACATATAATTCATATAATTAAAAAGTTTAGTTATCTTTTGTCTTATGAACATAATGAAAAAGGGGAAATTCAAAAAAATATTCCAGCAGCAAGAATTATAAAATGGATGTAAGTAAAAATTTTGAGACATACTCTTTTTTTTTTTTTAAATTTTGTAGATTGACTTTTTCCCCTTAACATTATACCATCCACGTTCCCCATGATATTACATTTTTCATCAGAAGTAACATTTTTTTAAATATTTATTTATTTATTTATTTTTAGTTTTCGGCGGACACAACATCTTTGTTTGTATGTGGTGCTGAGGATCGAACCCGGGCCGCACACATGCCAGGCAAGCGCGCTACCGCTTGAGCCACATCCCCAGCCCCGAGACATACTCTTAATATACTTGTCACATGCTATGGTTTGGCTATAAGATGTCCCTGTTAAAGCTCCTGTGTTAATGCAGGAATGCCCAGAAGTGAAATAATTAGATTATGAGAGCTATAACATGATTAATTCATCCTAGTGGTGACTTTAGACAGTGGGAAGTAGCTGGAGAAGTTAGGTCACAGGGGCTTGCCTTGGAAGGGTCCATCTTTCCTGCAGCCCCACCCTGTTCTCTGCTTCCTGGCTGCCATGAGGAGAGTAGCTTTCTTCTGCCATCTCCTTCCACCATGACTTTCTGCCTTATCTTGGGTCCATAGCAACGGACTCAACTTCCTATGGATTAAACCTCTAAAAATATGAATCCAAAATTAACTTTTCCTCCTCTACGGTGTCCTTGTCAGGTATTTTGGTCACAGTGACAAAAAGCTAACACATCACAGGATAGAAAAAGTATTACTATACGTACATCTGATTCAGGTTTTCTTCTCTGGCGGTCTTCAGAATCAATATCCACACTTCCGTTGATTATCTGTGTACATTTTGGACAAAGTTTCCAACCAGGTACAAGCTGTCTTCCAAATTTTGCACTCAGAAAAGTGGCATCATCTAAGTCAATTACATGCAAATTTTTTTTGGCTAGCTTTTTGTGTATGTTAAATGGATCACAACATGACTTCTGCAAATCTTCAAATCTGTCAATGTAAATTTTTACATGATGGAAGCAAATTGTATTGTTTCCAGAAAGTGTCATTCCAGTTCTAAGTTGAAGTAAAAGCATATCATTTGATGATAATTCTTGTAAAGTCTTGAAACCTGTGTGACGAGTATAGTATGTTTTATGGCATTCATTTGTGGTACGAAGCTGTACTCCAACTGAACATGGATCCATCATTCTTGACTCTTGCAAACTTTCCCTGTTTTATTTTGTCTAGAGATCTTTCTTTAGTAGGTCATGTGATGATTACCCTAGAAAAAACATTAAAGACAGATTTGTTTTGTAAACTATTTTACCTGGAAAACCAAAAAGAAAAAAAAAATTGATAAAATTCAGTATTTGTTTCAAAAAAAGAAAATCTCTCATCAAATTAAGAATTGGTAAGTATTCTACCAGAATCCTACAATAAACAGTATTATCTTTAATCATCAGATGTCAGAAGCATTCCTTGTAAGATCAAAACTACACATAATATCTGCTATCACAGCTTCTATGTAAGATAATATTAAAAGGTATAAGGATTAAAATGCAAGATACAAGAAGGATTATTTGAAGATGACACAAATATCTACATGGGAAATATAAGAGGTTCAACAGACAAACAATTAGAACCAGTAAGAGAATTCAGTAGAGATGATGGAAACCAAAACCACTTATAAAATACCTTCCAAAATATATAAATCTCACAAAAGATATGCAAGATCTTTATGGAGAAAATTATCCAAACTGAAAGACAAAAAAGACAATATAACTAAATAAAGCTATAAATCATGGGAAGCTTGACTATAGTAAAATATGCCAATTCTCTGAGAATCCATATATAAATTCAATGCTCTTCCAATCAAAATTCCATCAGATATTCTTCTACCCCTAACCTGATGCAAACTAGCTGACCTATATGAAAGACCAAAGGTCAAAATACAAACCCAAAAAGCAACCCCCCCCCCAAAAAAAAACCCAGAAGAACAAAGGTTCAAAAGGGAAATAAAACAAGATATTGATTTATTATAAAGCTGTTATAATTTAAACTGTGTGGTACTGCTATAGTATAGATAAATAGATCCATGAATAGATGAGGGCTTGATGTATAACAAGCGGTACTATAAATCTTTGGCACTTTCTGCGCCATGCAATAATTATTTATCCTTCAAGACACCACCAGCCTCTTCTATCTCATGCAGCCTTACTCAAATACTATTGTTAAAGGCTTCCTTCCTGTGTTTGCATAACACTTTCATTGTATTGAAACTTTTTCTCTACTACCTTTCAGATGGCAGACAAGAACATGATGATGTCATTTTCTCTATCAACCAATGTCAAAAATTAACTTTAAGAACTTCATTTTTCATAGCAATATCATATGCTTTTTTTTTTTTGTCACTTGTTAATCTTTTATACATTTGGGTCTGTGAGGGCAAGAAATCCCCTGGGGCCTTTTCAGAGTTGTGGCTTCTCTAATTAGCACAACACTGGGACTTAACAGACACTTAACAACCTCTTTAGAATGAGTTCAGAAACTCCCAGAATCTCAAATCAGGAAGGCTGAATCTCCCTTAAATCAATGAGACAAGGTCCAAGGATCCTACAATTATTCTTATCTTAAACCTATAACGGTCCCATACAAAATGCCCCTCGTTAATGGTTATATCAAAATGATTCAAATAAGCAGATACGTCCAATGACCACCTACTACGTTCATGGTGCCAGGAGGAAAGAAAAAATTTTTTACTTGGTTTCTGGCTTCAAGCAAACTGTTAAGGGTGAGAGATTTCTGATTTAAAAATAAATACAAGCAAGGAAAGACATAAACTGCATACAGGGTTCGAGGCCACAAAAATTCTAAGTAGCTCGATCCTAAATTAAGAACTTAGAGGGCTCCGGGCCTCCCCCAGAGAGGCGACAGCCGCAGAGGAGACACAAGTGGCGGAAACTGCGCTGGGCTTTTACCCAAAAGGTCGCAGATGAACCCGGGGAAGAGCTGGGGGACCCACAGGACGGGAGGCTGCTGTAGAGCTCGGGGGAACCACGGGATGGGAGGCTGGGGCAGGCCCCAGCCGGCAGCTCGAAACCCCCCTCACCAGCGAGGGCCTCCGCTACCAACTCCTTAGACACCTGGAGGCCCTCGGGCTCCTTCCCCACTTAGGGGCCGGTCTCCACGTTCGCGCACCTCCAGAGCCACCCCCAGCTCCCTTCCACCTTAGCTGGAGTTTTCCGCGGGGTACCGGCAGCACCGCATACAGGAAGGCCTCACTCGGTTGCCGGCCTTCCAGGTCGTCTTCGCGCTACCACAGAGAAGACGGTGCGCGCCGGCTAGAGAGGCCCAGCGCCACCATCAAGAGAGGCCCGAGAGAAGCCTAGAGTGGAACCCCGCCTGGTCGCCTCCGGGAGTGAAAGGGACTCAGTGGCCGGAGTTGGTAAATGACTCAACGCGAGGCAATAGTTGCTTCAGACGCTGACTGGTATTTACCGTCTCCTCTCGGTTAGGGAATTGGGCGATCTCTAGGGTTCAACTGTTACGAGACACAGGTTCTGCTAATTTTAATTGCCTTCAAATCTCTCCGCCTGTGCAGGATACCAAACTTTTGCTCCCAGATACCCCTAACCCCTGAAGGGAGTGAATGCGTTAAAAGCACCTCAAGAACGAGCCTTTGATTTAAGGTCATACATTTTATTTTGCTTCTTTCAGGCAAACGAAATATTCTATTTTTTTTAAAATAATGAACTACGAAATAGCTATTATTTTGAGTAAAATTTAGCCTCCAGTAATTTTCTAAGGGAAGAAATGGTTTCCTTGTATCTCTATTGTCTGCCACACGTAGGCGCTCATTAATTTTTAAATCGGACTTTATTCACTTGCATTCATCTAGTGCTCCATGCGCCCTTCTCTTCTTCCTCTCCCCCTCCCTCTTTCTTTTTCAAAGGCATAGACGGAGGTTTATTTAGGAAAGTAGATACATATTCAAGGGAGAATGGGGGCAATCTCAAGAGAGATGCCTTTGGGGTAAAATAAGGTATGCACATTCAAGAGAGCATGCTGGCTCTCTCTAGGGGGACAGACAGCAACCCAGTGATGTGGGGGTACTAACATCTATAGAGGGCTGGTTGTTAGGGGCTGGACTAGAGGTAGAGGCAGAGTGGAGCGGCATGATTTCACGCCAGTTTTCTCTGCACTTGAACATTGGGTGCTTCTAGACTCAGTATATCTTTCTATTCCAAATTCCTAATTCACCGCAGCCCCAGACATTGATCCCTTAATCTGAAGGGTTGGTGAGCGAGAAAGATCCATCTTCTGTGATTGCTTTAGGGGGGCATGTGTAATGAACCTGCCTCCTTAGAGATCAAAGATCTCATCCTGACTAATCTGAAAGAAAAAGACACTGGTCTCAGTGTGGGATGAGTTCGAATTCTTGTGTTGCCATCCTCCTAACATAGTATTCTTGTAACTTTTGGAAGATACAAACTCTATTAGAAGATTAAAAAGGCAAGAGCTGAGCAATAGGAGCAGAAGTATAGTTACCACAGGTTCTAATAGCAGTTATGGTCAGGTAAGGCTATGCAGGAAATCTTTAATAGTTTTTATTTCCCTGTATACATCTCAGGATCTGGATTCCCCCCCCCCCCTCCCCCCAAAAGCATGTCTGTCAAATCAGACAAATTAACTTAGGGCAAACTTACTTTAGCAGAGTCTCTTTTGATAGTTATCAGACACCCATGCATAAGGCTTAATGTCTTTTCCACTGAAGGTTTGTGATCTTTTAACCATAATCATGTGGGCATAAGAGGTCAACAAAAACCAAAAACTATTGCTATTTTAATCTGCAAGTGAATGACATGGGACAGGCAAATAAGGTCCACCAAAGCCCATGCTTGCTTGTAATTTCATATATTTACTGTAAATTGTTTTCTAAAGTGAGTTTATGGTTCTTTCCAACACTTTCATCTTTCATACTCCTCCTCAGCTAAGCAGGATTTTGACACTGACTGTATTATACCAATCTTAGAATTAGGGGATGGGAGAAAGGCAAAAACCATGGGTAATCCCCTTAACTGATTTGGATAGTTCTTTTGCTGGTTACTTTGTGGTTGGCACTTTGCTAAGTACTACTAACTATAAATGAATAAAATGTATTCCTGCTCCCAAGGAGTTCAAAGATTAGTGAGTGAGGAATAAATTGTTAATTACAATGTGATTTGATAAGTGCTATAATAAAAGCATAGGGATATTAACAGGATAAAATAGGAGATACTAATATGCAAGGACATTCTGTGGGGGGAAGGGATTAATGCTTGAATTAAATTGTCATATGGGAAATGAACTTGATGCAATGCTGGCCTCTAGGTGAACACTAGGATAGCTAACCCAGCGATGTAAAACAGCAGGCTCATGAGACCAAATTAAGATTTGTGAATGATATGGCTTAATGAATCAATTTAGGTATCCAATGAAAACAGTAGGAAGGAATTGTAGTAAGTTAACATGATTAGGATAGGGTACAAGCGAACGGAAGCCATCTAAATCACTGGTTAAGCAATGTTCATATGACCTGTCTGCCATCTTTGCCTTTTCCATTGAAGCTATGCTCATAAGAGCCAGAAGTGAGGTTTCAGCAATGTTATCATTTAGATGTGGTGTCCCCCAAAAGCTCACCATGTGAGACAATGCAAGAAGGTTTTGGAGAAGAAATGATTGGGTTATAGCCTTAACCTAATCAGTGGAAAAAAAGCCCTAAATGGATTAACTGAGTAGTAACTGGAGGTAGGTGGGGTATGGCTGGAGGAAGTGGTTCATTAGGAGAATGGCTATGGAGTATATATTTTGTATCTGGAGAGTGGAGTTTCTTTCTCTGCTTTCTGATCATCATGTGAACTGCTTCCTTCTACCACACTTTTCCACCATGATGTTCAGTCTCACCTTGAGCCCTGAGAAATGGAGCTGGTCTTCTATGGACTAAGACCTCTACAACTGTAAGCCTCCAAATAAACTTTGTCTCCTCTACAATTTTGCTGGCCGGGTCTTAAGTCACAGCAGCAAAAAAGCTGACTAAAACAAGCAAGGAGGCCTACAAGTGGAAAATGCTTTGGGCCAATGGCATGCACGTGCTGTTTGGGTAGAAAGTATGCCTGGCCACAACCAGAACTTACAAGTTAGGCTGCTGAACATTTGTTTGCATTTCTTTGGTAGAGAACATATGAGACTGTTGTGGGTTTCACCAGTGTGTCGCCAATGTAGGAGTGACACAGTTGTCAGTCTAGAGATGTCATGATTATTCATAACTTATTTTTTTCATCCCTTTGACTATAAGTGACCCTCTGTTCCATCATATTTTCTATGTATTTTAACTCTGGCATGCCTTATAGTTTACTAACTTACTATGCATATTTAACACAACTCTGACTATGTTTCATAAAGTACATGCTTACTCATATTCTATATTTAAAACACCCTGGAGTTTTGCATTTATCTCATAAGCTAGTAGCTTACTTACTGTCTACAGTTAACACTTTTTATGAATTTCATACATTCCTAATTAAACTGCAGAAGAATTCAGTATGGCTGGAAAGACAAGTAGAAGGCAATGCCCTTTTTATGCTTTATTATAGATACTGGATTTTATCCTGATGGACATTATAAAACCATAAGGAGTATGGAGAATGGTGGAGAGATGCAGTCCTGGACAAGGCATAGAATCCTTTCATCCTAATGTGCATGACTGATAATGAGAGCTTCAGCAAACTAAATTAACTAAGGTAGTGGCTCTAAGGATGAGAGGATTTCCTTCACTCCACTCCCTGCCCCCAACAGTTGGTAACATTTGGAGACATTTTGGTTTGTACTAACCAGGGAGATGCTACTGGTATGTAGGAGGGTAAGAGCAGGGAAACTGCTGGACATCACACAATGCCACATAAACCCCCTACAACAATACTTTATTTCTGAGATTGAGAAACCCTAAACTAAAGGAATTAAGCAGGCATGAAGTAGATAGAAGTTAAGCAAAAAGAATTAGTAGGATTTTATAACTGATTAGATATCAATATTAGGAAGGAGAGGATGATTTTAGGATTCTGGTTTGGGTAACTGGGAGGACAAAAAGAGAAATGAGTTAGGGAAAATAGAGATAAAGACTTAACTGTTGGATATACTAAATTTAAGACATCCAAGTGAAGATGTGCAGTTGGCAGTTAGAAGGAAGCGTCGGGAGATAAGAGGAATCTGGCAAATATTGGTCTATGAGTAATAGTAGTTCTGTTTTGGGGGATGAGGTAGGGTAAAGAAGATGAATTAACCAAGGAATATATAGGGTCAAATGAGAAAGAATAGGACTGAAGATTAATCCAAATTTGCACCTTCATTCCATTTTACTGAATCAGAATCTCTGTCTTTATTTCAGTCAGCTTTTTCAACACTGTGACCAAAAGACCTGACAACAGTTTTAGAGGGGGAAAAGTTTATTTGACGCTCACAGTTTTGTAGGTCTAGTCTATAAATATCAACTTCATAGCTCTAGGCCTGAAGTGGGTCAGAACATTAAGTTGGATGGGTTTGAAGGAGAAAAGCAGCAAGACCTAGCAATCAGGAAGCTGAGAGAGCTCCACTCACCAGGGACAAAATATATATCCCAAAGGCATGCCTTCAGTGACCACATCCTATCTATAGTTCCCACCCAGTTAATCCATTCAAGTGGATTAATGCACTGATTAGGTGAAGACTTTTATAACTGAATCATTTTACCTTTGAACTTTCTCACATTGTCTCACACATAAGCTTTTGGAGCACATTTCATGTCTAAACTATAACAGTCCCCCAGGCCAGTCTGTCAGATCAGAATTTCTGCATATAAGGTCCAAGAATCAGTCCTGTTTGCAGGTAACCCTGAGTTATTTTGAAGCACAATGAAATTTCACAGCAATGGATTTACTCTAAGAAAAGAAGTTGGAGAAGGAGCAATAAGGTAGCAGGAAAACTAGGGAAGAGCAGAATCCCACAGACTAATAAAGGAGAGGATTTCAGAGTTCTGGCAGTAGACAAGGTTGCTGTAGGGCTGTACTGGTCATTAGAAGTATAATGTGAAACACAAGTGGAATTGCAAATTTACTAAAAGCAATATTAAAAAGGTTAAAAAAAGGAGCAGGTGAAATTAATTATAGAAACATTATTTAACCCAAATGTCTAAAACATTAACATTCTAACATGTGATTAACATAGAAATTAATCATGTATGTTATATATTTTTTCATATTAAGTCTTGGAAATCTGATATGTTTTATACCTTCAGCATGTCTCAGTATGGATTAGTCACATGTGGCTGGTGGCTGCCATATTGGATGGTACAACTGAAGAAAGTTATATAAAAAAGAATTGAAAAGAACTGCAAAGAAATGAAATAAAAAATAATAAAATGTATTTTTCACCTATAATAATGTGGTGGCCATAAAGGGTGTGAAAGCAGTTTTTTCA